GATAGACTAGTGCAAATCTTATACCTTGGAAACGTAAAAATATCTTTGAAATTCATCACCCTTCCGAAGCCGAACTTCAAGCTACTCAATTAATTGAGGGTAAAACACCACCGGAACTTCATAATTCAAGGAGTTCGGAAAATTGACTGAAAGCTTAATAGTATTAATGGCAATCAGACAATCAACGCTTGCTAAAATCAAGGTTGTAGCCCTCTGCTTGTGAGTATCCACCAAGAGAACCTAAGTGAAAGGACACATGAACAAATACTGTGCCGGGAATGTATGCGGTTCCCCGCAAAAATTAAAAACGGTCTGCTATATAGGAAATGAACCCTATTATAGCACATGAGGAGACCAATGAAGTAACGTACGACTTCATTTGCGCTTGTACAGCACTAATGTAAGTGATACTTTACGGAAGTTCAAAGCATTTCATATAGGTAATTTGGTCCGCATAAGCGAAGCCGTCGATAAAAGTCTACTACTGGCATTGCACAAAGTCATTATGAATTACGCAATCAATAAGACTCTAGCAAGATGATTCGAAAAGACGAAAGCTGGAAAATGAGGTAGATAATCTAATCCGTTATAGTGTGATAAACCCATTGGAAAATGATTTGATGGGAAGTAACTCATCATCAACTCAGCATGGCTACGCTGATGAACAATCGGCATTCCAGCACTTAATAATTATCTACTGAGTGCTTAGTTTTCTCATTTTTCCAGTTATAAATGTTTAAGCAGATAAACCTTTCTGAAGTTACATATAGCTGCCTGCGCACCATTATAGAATTTAAGCCACAAACTTAGCGTCATTCAATCGGGCAGTAAATTCGCCTTTTAGTCCATTTTTGAGATGGTTTTGCGCCGCCGGATATTAAGTTGCTTCCGATCGGACTCAGGATTGAAAACCAGTTGCGCACTCGTCAAATCGTTTAAACCATTTTTTGTATGCAAAAATATTTATTTATTCTTTTCAGTTAACTGTTTAGTTATGATTTCTAATTTCAAAACAACTGCACCTCCCTCTTGAAACTCACATTGGAAGATATTCCATTCACTGTAAGGAACAAAAACGGACTTGAACCATGAAATGACATCTGTACATTGATAGTGTGTGAATGACTGGCGAGAAACAGACCCATAGAAGTAAGCAATCTGATTGGCAACGTAAACAAATTAAAAATCAATACCAATGCAGTTAGAAACATAGCAACGCAGTGAATGAAATTATGCGTAAGAGGGCAATACTCGATATGTACTTAGTAAGAACGACTAAATCTTGAATCTTATTAAACCGCATGTGAAGCTACCATCAGTAAATTTTCATAAGTAAAAGCAATACCTTCAACTGAATGTCAATATTTGTAGCTTGAAGCTTTACTACTGTTAAAATTTATTTGCATTTTTTCATGGAATCAAAAAATTGTTGTCATAACGGATGATGGAGATTTTCCACACAGACACGCAATAATATAATACAGTATAAAACTCAAAGAGTTTATAATCGTTGGAATGTCAGTCTCCCTTACACTTTAACGAGGAAGCTACATTTGGCATCCTATTTTGATGAAATCAATCACGGTGCGCTGATCTCTGTTTCCGTGACTTCAACCAAGAATGCTCCATAGTAAAATAGAGGGTCAGTAGCAGCACATAAAAACCAAATTGCGTAGTGTCCTGTTTTCTACCTAGACAGTGTTACTCGATGTTAGCCTCGAACGGAAGAAAGACTAATAACTCAAATCCGGAATCTCTCGGTTTCTCTCGAATAAGCGGCCATTGTTTGAAGCGACGTGCAGTGAATTCCTAGCACAAGGAAATTAAATGTTAGGAAGGTTACAGTTTTTTATCTGTAACTGAACCCGGCACTTTCGAAATGCAAAGTCGACTTCGTAGAGGAAGTGTTACCACTCCTTCAAATGTGAATTAATAAGAAAGTTGACGCGATAATGCAGAAATGATCAACAGAGCGAAATACAAGCAAGCATGCAAAAATATCTAAAGGAGTGATATAGATAATAGAGCTCAAAAGCATGGAAGTGTTTTCTTCAGTAGCTATTAGGATCGTTTAAATACGTGCCGATAATAAGATAACCGGTGCATAGTATAGCTCAGTCATTCAAAGCTCTGCTAAATTCTGAGGCATACTAGTATTAACAGTTTGCGTCAGAGTTTCCAGTCAGAAGGTGAATGCTACAATTTTAGAATTGCGAATGGCGTGAAAAAAGCTTGAACAGCGACAAGTAAATCAGATCCCGTCAAATTATTCCGTCCACTTTCGGAAATGATTGTAAAGGGCACCTTAGAACCTTTAAAATCATGCCAATAGAGTAGGAAATCTAACAGCAGGTGCGTTGGACGATAATTGAGGAATTCAAGCCTGTTGGAGGAAAACGTTTGTGGAATATCTATCGCCCAGTTAATGATTCAATTTAGTTATACAAAATAAAATCTGAGTTTAATTTGTTTAATGCGCATTGATGCGCATGTGGAATTGCCTTGTAACGGAAGCTAATAAGAAACAAATTCTTACAGTTTTTCTCTTTCCTTTTTTCGCATTTATCAGACGCATTAAATACTCGTTCATGGATCAGTTGCGAGCTCGTTATGGCAAAGTAAGAACATCTGCCTTCTACTGTTCTTAGACCACGTTTCTAGCCCTCTTAGATTTCAAAACATCATAAACATCTATGGAATCGAAATACCTTACACCACTGAAGGAACAATGGCAGAATATTTACTAAGAAAAATTTTGAAAGTTGCAAATAGCACCTAATCTTGCATATTGTGCATGCTGCTTTATATTGATATGGTTTCGCTAACCAATATTGAACGCTGATGTTTTGAAAAGCGGCATATCATGGGAACGATTTATTTAAACAAGAAAGTTACTGTATCCAAAACTAAAAAACAGACATCTGGTTATCCTTGATAAAACTGTTTTCCTTGCGTTAGGCCAGTAATCCATTTTAATTGTTAGGCAAACAGTGTCCAGCGCGTAGAACTGTACCTGCTGACACACATTACATTACCGTGGGCAGATTTCGAAGTTGCGCAGCTTCTTGAGGTTTGTTGTCGTCGCTGTTTCCGATGAGAGATCTACTAAGCTTTAACCGGTAATATGGAAGCTTAATATAAAAGCTTGCAATTTTAGGGGTAGCATGCGGACGGTCGTGTTTGTGTTAATCTTCAGACTATGATTTTGCTTTACTGTTGTGCTGGTTTCAACGGCACCGCATAATTTGACGTCAATTTATTTGTGCTGCATTTTAATGAAATTGATGATGTGCCGTGTGTGCTTTTATTCGCCTTGTACGGTGCTGATTATCTTCTTTCAAAATGCCATTTTTTTAACCGGGTTGACATAGGTTTTGGACAAAACGAGTTGCAACGATGGGCTTCGTTCGCGTTCGCTTGTCGGTCACCGTCAGATGTTGCCCATGATGGTGTACATGCCGTAACAGTGCGATCTTTCGGATATTTTAGGGATTCACATCCAAGTTGGTTCTAAGTTTCAGTGGTTTAGCTGCTTGACTGCTAAATTGAGGGATCTCCGCCTTATTTATGTATGCCAGCGGATGTCGCTAGTTTCTGACGACTATTCATTTTTTGCCTCCTTTGTCAACTGCCCAGTGAAGCGGCATTGTTTGTACGTACAGGCCCAGCTATCCGTTGCTGGCAGTGGCGGTTGAACAGCTTGTCCCATGAAGCGAGTGCGCTGACGTGACCGTGGCTTTTCTGGTCGGAATCGTTGCGGCGTCTTGTCTTTGTTGTTCGTTTGTTAGTGGCAGTCGAAGATGAGTGGCATCTCGTGCGCGCCGTCTTCGACTGCTGTCGATTATGCGTCTGCTGGCAGGGCAGGGCAGGGCGAGGCGAGACGGGGATAAGTTTCTTATCGATCGCGAGGTTTCTCGAGTAATTACGCGCCTCCTCGTTGAGTACGTCGAGGGAAAGGTGGCGGTGCAAAGTAAGAAGGCAGATGATTCGAGTCGAATCGAACGTGGACGAAGAACGGCTTCGTTGTACGTCTGGTGTCTGGTTGCGGCCATTATGCAGCTAACGCGAGAAACGGTCGCTTTGCCGCTCTAACCGTTGCGCACTTCTGCTTTGTTCGCTTGGCTGATTGTTTGGGCAGCATGGATTTCGAATCTTCGTTTACATATGCGGAACGTCGCTGGTTTGTGATGTCCGCTGTATCCGCAACTGTTCAACACTTTTGCCATAAGCCGCCGGCTACTGCTTCGCAGGAATAATTACTCCTCTCCGAAAGCAGATCTGCCTCTACCTTATACTTGCATGTTGCATGCTGTCCTCCTGGTCGACGTCTGCGGTGTTTCGGCTTCCACACAGTTAGTTCCTCGCGGGTTGGAGTAAATGTCGAACCATTTTATCTAGCAGGACCAACCTCTTTTTCTTAATCCTCACACCGGCCGAGGTCCTTTTAGCCCTGAACAGAATAGATTCACTCTCGACATGGCCGTTTGATTTCGCCTTCACTATCCGTCTATTCTAACGCTGCTATACCCATTTCGTTCCAAGAACCGTCGTTCTTGCTCGTTCCTTGGGAGCACTTTATCCATGCCGTAAAACAACATTCATTTGACAGCGACAAGTTACAGGTAGTCTTTTGTGGGAAGTGTAACTCCTTTCTCAGTCTGAATGTTGTGTATGTTTCTAAAAGCACTCGGCGCCATTGCGATCCTCCTATTTAACTCTGGCTGGAGAGTTTCATAGCTGGAGATGATGGAGC